GAGTGCGAGAGCCCTATAGCAAAAACCTCCCCCCTCCAAACAAAACAAAACAAAACAAAACAAAAACACCCGGTTCTCACCCAGAACCCTGGCACTCATCCAGTTCTATCATTCTTAGGTACCCTCCTCCCCACTTTGCCCTTGAGTTCAAACTTCATTCCCCCCATCACCTCCCCTTCACCACCCCTACCCCACCCCCACCACACACACACACACACACACACACACAGTCACTTTCCTCTCAGGCCTGTGCTAGGTCATCACTGGTGCTAGGTCATCACTGACACTGCAGGACTCACAAACCCAGCTGTCCTCAGCCTAACATGCAGGGATGGGGACCTTGCCCAGTGCCCACCTGGGAAAGACTGTCTCCCACTCTGGTCTTTAAGGCTGTACACTTTTACACCAGTGGTTCTCCAAGCGTGGTTCCTTGAAACTTGTTATAAATGCTAATTTTCCCCTCCTCCCTACACCAGAATTTCTGGGAGTTTCAACTAGAAATCTGCTAGCAGGTGCTTTTCCAATGCTTGCTAACATTTGAGAAGCACTGCTTGGGACCAGACACAGAACAAAACATAAGACCACAGCTGAAGAGCCCACGTCCTGAGAAGTGAAAATCCTCCTCGTCCCGCCATTGTCCACATTTTTCAGAAGGACAGGCCTAAAGCATCCAGGCACCAAGAACCCTAGGCCTCAGCACAAAGTCCATCTCCCTGCCTCCAAGACATATAGGCCTCAGCATTGCCCAAGCACTTCCCCTAGGGGGCTGCTTCCCTTCCCCTGACCATTTCCCTGCATTGTCACTTTGGAGGCTCCTCCCAGCCTCCAGCCCCCCTGCCTGAGCTAAGCAGCCACAGGGGCCAGAGGAGGGGGTGGCTGCCCTAGGCCCTGCCACCAAGCCTGGTTCTCAACCTCCTGACATCCCCACGCATCTTCCAAACTCTTCCAAACTTGACCCGGCCTGTATTGCTTCAACCCACAGCCCATAAAACCTCTAGCACTTGATCCATCACGGCAAACTGTTCTTGCTATCAAAAGTCTCTGGTGTTTTGGGCAACAACCAAAAACTGAGTTTTCACAATAAAAAGGCATCCTCTCTAAAGTGAGGTTCCCCACACTTTATTCTCTCTTCCACATAGTTGTTGTCCAACTCACTCTATTATTGTCACCTATTTTGTTAAGTTTACTTATTTTTCTCCATGAGAGAGTCAGAGAGAGAGAGAGAAACAGCACCCCCAACAGGACCCTCATGCCATGATCCACCCCCAGGCTCAGCTTGCCTGGATCATTGACATTCATGTATGCCTGGTGTGCTAGAGACCAGGGACATGAACCCAGGACTTTTTCCATGTGGGTCCAGTTGTGTTACCACTGTACCATCCATTGGCTTCACAATATATATATATATATATATTTAGGTTTTGCCATAGGGTGCATACACTCACCGGGAAAAGGGAGAAGTCATCCTCCCCCTCAGGGGGGTAGTCATGCTACAATCCCTTCTCC